ACTGTGGCTCCACAATATTTGTATTGTTTCTTTTTAGCTGCTTGCAGTATTGTCTCCTTAACCTGAGAGCTCTGAAATTTGACTATAATATTGCTAGGAGTTTTCATTTTGATATCTCTTCAGTAATCTTTTGGACTTCCTTTTCCATTTGGCCAATTTTGCACAGGGCATTCTTCTCCTCTCTGGCTTTTTGGACCTCTTTTGCCATTTGGGTTAGGCTATTTTTTAAGGTGTTATTTTCTTCAGTATTTTTTTGGGTCTCCTTTAGCAAGTTGTTGACTTGTTTTTCATGATTTTCTTGCATCACTCTCATTTTTCTTCCCAGTTTTTCCTCTACTTCTCTTACTTGCTTCTCACAATCCCTTTTGAGCTCTTCCAAGGCCTGGGACTGATTCATATTTTTCTTGGAGGCTTTGGATGTAGGAGCTTTGGCTTTGTTGTCTTCTTCTGGTTGTATGTTTTGATCTTCTTTGTCACCAAAGTAAGATAATATAGTCTGACTCTTTTTGTGCTGCTTACTCATGATCCCAGCCAATTACTTGAGTTTTAAACTCTTTGTTAAGTAAGGTAAAAGTCTGCTTCCAATGTGAAGAGTGTACTGTCCCAAGCTTCAGGGGTTTGTACAGCTGTTTTGAGAGGTACTTCTAGGGATCTGTAAATTTTCAGTTCTTCCAAGGTGGTATGATAAGGGGTGAGGTGTTTTCTCTCCATCACCACAACAAGCTCCACCGCACCAGTGTTCCTCCTCACCCCAGGACTGCCCCTCACAACTGTGACCCAGATCCAAGCACAGGTAAAGCAAGAGATTCCTGCCTCAGTATTGGCAAAGAGATCCTGCAATCCCCCTCTGATCAGCCACTTGATTCCCCCTCAGTCTGTGGGCCTGAAGCTCAGGAAAAAGGCGCGGCCCCGGGCCGTTCTTGAGACTTGTGGCTGAGACTTAGCTCCTCTCTCACTGCAGTCACAGATTTTTTCCACTGACCTTCTAGTTGTCTTTGGCGTTCAGGGGTTGAGAAGTCTAGAAACTGCCACAGCTGCCCGTGATTCAGTCCTCTGAGGCCTGTTTCAGGTTTGCTGCGGCCTGCGCACCCACACCGAACTGCGCTCCTCTCCCCGCCTGGCGCAATATACCATTCTGATCAACCATCCAGGCTGTCTTTGGCTGGAAATTTGTTTCACTCTGTCTTTTTGTGGGTTCTGCTGCTTTAGAATTTGTTTAAAGCCATTTTTTTAGGTATTTGGAGGGCTTTGGGAAAGAGCTCAAAACAGTGACTGCTTTCCCTCTGCCATCTTGGCTCTGTGCCCCCCCCCCCCCCATTTTGATATCTCTTTCAGGAGATGATTAGTGATTTAAAAAAATTTTTAATTTAATTTAATTTTTATTAAATTATTATATATAATTATTATATATAAATATTATATATTATATATTATGTATTTTACATATATTTTCTTATGTATACAAAAATTATATATACTATATATATATATATATTTTTTTTTTCTTTCTCCTTAGAAATAAGAGATTTTTTTTTTCCCCCTCAGAGGCAGGAAGAAAAGGAAGAGATTCTATATCTAGAGATAGAGAATAATTTTTGAAGTTGATAGGAGGAAAGTTGAAGGACCTCATGAAAATGAAAACTTTTTCAGGTTATTTCATTTATTTGAGAGAAAGCATGATAGATTTTAAGTGGTTTCAGCTTTTTTTTTCTTTTCTTAAATATTGTATATATAATTTTCTTAAATATTATAAATTATTATATATATATAAATTATTTAATTTAATTTAATTTTTAATTTCTATTTTCTTTCTATTTTCTAGAATATCAGGGCAGTTTTTCTTGGTAATTTTTTGAAAGATGATATCTAGTCTCTTTTTTATCATGGCTTTCAAGTAGTTTACTGATCTATTTACTGGATCTATTTTCCTGGTCCTTTGTTTTTCCAATGAGATACTTCACATTTCTTCTGGTTTTTTGGTTTTTTTTTTTTTATTCTTTTGATTTTTACTTTATTGTTTCTTGATGCCTCATAAAGTCATTAACTTCCACTTGCCCAATTCTAATTTTTAAGGAATTATTTTCTTCAGTGAGCTTTTGTATCTCCTTGTCCATTTGGCCTATTCTATTTTTTTAAGGAGTTCTTCTCTATAGTGAATTATTATGTATCTTTTTCCATTTGGCCAATTCTGCTTTTCAAGGCATTCGTCATTTCATTGGATTTTTGTGCCTTTTTTTTTTTTTACCATTTGGCCTATTCCGTTTTTTAAAGTATTATTTTCTTCAGTATTTTTTGTGCCTCCTTTACCAAGCTATTGACTTTTTTGCATGATATTCTTACATCCCTCTTCCCATTTCTCTTTCCATTTTTTCCTCTACCTCTTACTTGATTTTTAAAATCTTTTTTGAGCTCTTCCATGCCTTGAGGCCAATTTACATTTTTCTTTGAGGCTTTGGATGGAAGAGTTTTGACTTTGTTGTCTTCTTCTGAGTTTGTGTTTTGATCTTCCTTGATGCCATAGTAACTTTCAATAGTCAGGATCTTTTCCTGATGTTTGTTCATTTTTCCAGCCTGCTTCTTGACTTTTAACTCTATGCTAAAGTGGAACTCTGCTTCTGGAGTCAAGAGAGCATTGTTGCAAGCTTCAGGTTTTTTTGTGCAGCTATTTTCAGGGGGTAATTCTGGAGACCTGTACATTTTCAGTTCTTCCAAGGCAGAATGATCTAGAGAGAGATATGTTTACTACCCTTCTGGACTATGGGCTAGTCTGTGAGTGACCAGAAGCACTCTTTCCTATCCTGAAACTGTGCCCACTCGTGGCTACAAGCTCTGGTGTGCTAGTGTTCCTCCTCATCCTGGGACTGAGAGCTAGGACTGTGACCCAGATCTAAGTATGGATAATGCAACCAGAGTTCTGCCTCTGGTGCCAGCAAAGGACCTCTGCAATCTCCTTCTGGCCAGTTATTCAACTCCCTTACCATTTGTGGGTTGAGAGGTCTGGAAACCGCCACTGTCACCATAGATTCAGTTGCCCCCAGGGTTTACTGTTGGCTTCCTGGGGGTGGCCTGTGCTGGACTGTGCTCCATTCTCACCCTGGTACAACAGACCTTTCCTGCCAACTTTCTAAGTTGTCTTTGGCTGGAAAATTGTTTCACTCCATCCTTTTTTGGGTTCTGCTGCTCTAGAATTTCTTTTGAGGTATTACTTAAAGGTGTTCAGAGGAATTTTGAGGAGAGCTCAGGTGAGTCCCTGCCTTTTTTCAACCATCTTGGCTCTGCCTCTTCCTAGGAAATTTTCTTTTTTTTTTTTCTTTTTTTTTTTGGTTAGGCAATGGGGTTAAGTGATTTGCCCGGGGTCACACAGCTAGTAAGTGTTATGTGTCTGAGGCCGGATTTGAACTCAGGTCCTCCTTAATCCAGGGCCAGTGCTCTATCCACTGCGCTGCCTAGCTGCCCCAAGGATTTCTTAAGATATGCATTCACAATCTTGCCCTATATCAACTCCCATGACTCCTTCCTCTCCTTCTTACTACCTTTGTGACCTCAGACAAGTCATTCAATCTTTTTGAGCCTAATTTTAAACTTAGGAGCCAAACTAGGTTGCCTTTCAGGTACCTTCTGCCTCTAAATTTATATCCTATGATTCTATGCATCTTTGTTATATCTTCATTTCTTCAGAATATCAGGTAATTTAACACATTGCTCATGTAGAATACACATTGTTATTTAGTTAATTATTATTTAGTTAAAAGATGTTCACTGGTCCATCTTGTATCATTAGCCTTTGAGGTTCAAGGATCAAGTTTATTTATCTGTCTTTGTAGAATCCTCATAGAGATAGTCACACAATTATTTTTGATGATAATAGAAGATATATTATGTAGAGGTAGTAATGCCCTGGGGCTTGCTCTCTCATTCCCCTACTCCATTGTTAAATTGGACCCTAGAGCTCACTAGCTACTACTTCCTTCACAGTTCTAGGGGTAACCCTGAGAGGTTGAGGATATTTTTCTAATGCTATTGCTAACAAGCCCCCATCAGGATGCTTCCCCACTGATTATCAATTGATAACAAGTAACCAGCTAGATTTAATTAGCTTTTAGAAATGAGTTTCTACTGCTGTGGCATAGTACAAATAGTTTGTTCAAAGCATTCCCTTAAACCAGAGACACACTGTCCCACAAATGTGAACAGAACCCAAGGGAAAATAGGGTCAAGTATAGAGAGTATATGTGTCAAAGAGGTCACTCATAGCGCTTAGATGCTAGAAGTCCTTTTTTCCCCTTTGTGGGACCCTGCTGAACTTCTCTTTTTGCTTGATATAGCTTACTGTTGTGTTCTACTTGTAGAGTCCTGAAGCTGCATGTCTCAGTGTGCTTAGTTTGTCTCCAGTTCCTAATACAGATACTACCATTAGTCACTGCTATTTTGGGGATAATCTTACCGTTACAAATGAGAAATTCCAAATCATCTGATCTTTTGAAATTCACAAGTCCTTTCTTTAGCCAAGTGGTGAAGGGAGAAGAGAGACTTTCTCCTCCTCTCTCCTCTACTAGCAATGCTCTCTCAAGGACATGACGGGGACTTCTGTCACTGGGCAGGTAGGCAGATATTCCACCTGACTTGCTGTTTTATACAAGGACCCACAGGGTGTGGCTGAGTCTCTTCAACTAATCTCAGTATACTTACTGTCATTTAACTTCATCACTCCTTCAGATTGATTAAGGACTTTTAGAACCTCATTTAAAGTCTTTGACTAATTGACTGAAGAGAAGTATTCTCTCCTGATAAAAGTATCAAGGCTTATTAATTAATCTTTAAGATTTACTTTAGTTACTTTATTCGTTATTTTAAGGAGGGGCAGGTGACTTATTGAATAGACACCTCACCCTTACATAGATTTTCCATATTAATTTTTCCTAATTTCTTCTTTTCATGAATAAGACATATTTAGGAAATATTGTTCCTTTATGAAAGATGTGCGCTTTCATTTTTTCCAGGTTAATGTTTAAAAGCAAATGCAAGTCTTTTGAGCAATATCCATGTTATAAAGATGAAGAAACTAAGATAACTTTTGCTGATTATTCTGTAAACTATCCTGATCAGCCACCAAATTCTTGGTTTATAGTTTTTAGGTAAGGTTTTGAGAATATTTTCACTCTCTCTAAATTACATTTCATTTATTAAAATTGTTTTCTGTGTATACTTAATATAAGTAGCTTGAGAGACGGGTTTTTTTTTTTAATATGGTCTTTGTTTTCCCAGCACTGAGCACAGTGCCTGGCATACTGGTCCCTGATAAATTGTTTTGATTTGTTTTAATCACTTGTTTAATCCACTATAGTATATAACTCATTAATTTATAATTTTGTTTCAAAAAATAAAACTTAAAGGTTGCTTTTCTTACTTTCTCTAAAAGTCATCATACTTTTGCTTTGTATATATGAAACCATTTAAAGAAATGTTTTATTTGCACTTTTATTTAATCAAAAACATAGAAAAATAAAAAATAGGTAATACAGCTGTTTTATTCATGTTTGCATTTAATTAACTTTATGTTGAATTACTTTCTGATTTTATCATAATTCTTTGTATTCATCTCCCCTATTGTACTCTAAGCACCTTGGGACAGAGACTCATTTCATCTTTGTATCCTTAATACCTAGCATAGTGTCATCCCCGTGTAGAATAGTTACTAAGTAAATGTTTGTTGAATTGATTTGAAATGCTGCTCAGAGAATGTATAATGATATGACAGTAGGGTAAAGTCTCTCATTTGCTGGATAATACTTAAATAGCTGTAATATATGAATTATAATTATATAGAAAATTTATATTTGTAGATAAATAAAGTCAATAGCAAGAATCATTAATTCACTTCAGTTCAAAAAGCATCTATTTCTTAAAAATTTATAATACTCTAGGCATTGTGCTAGACTCTGGGGACACAAAGATAAAAAATGAAACTGTTTGAGCTTGTGCTCTACTGAGAAGAATATGGATACAGAGAAGTAAATATAAAGTATAAACTAAATACAAAGTAATTTTGTGGGAGGCAAGTTCAGAGAGAACTAACAACTGAAGGCCCAAGATATGCCTCTTATAGAGACTGGAGAGGAAGAGGGAAGGAGGGAGAGCATTAAATGCATGGGGACTCCCAGTGCAGAGGCAGATAGGTAGGAGATGGAATATCAAGTACAGAGTATAGCAAATTGGCCAGTTTGACTGGAATATGGAGTATATAAAAAGGAATTGTGAAATTCATCTAGAAATATAATTTGGAACCAGATTGTAAAGGGCCTAAATGCCAAATAGAGGTTTTTATTTTGTCCTAGAGACAATAGGGAGCCACTTCAGTTTAATGAGCAGGGGACCACTGTGATTAGATTTATTTATTTATTTATGTGGATGCTTTTGTAATTTTGTGTTTTCTGTGCTTTTGTAATGTCAATTTGGCAACCGCGTAGAGGACAGTTTGGAGAGAGGAGAAACTGGAAGCAGAGAGAGCAGTTAAGAGTCTGATACAGTAGTCTAGGTGAGAGGTATTGAGGACCAAAATATGTGTGGTGACAGGCTGAGTGGAGACAAGGTGACAGATGTGAGAGAGGTAGAGGCAAAATTGATAGGATGTAGCAGTTGACTAGATATGGGGAGGGGTAGAATGAATGAGACTAAAAGTCTGAAAATGACTCAGAGGTGGCAAGCTTGGATCACTAAAAGGAGGGTAGTGCCCTTAATGGGATGAAGATGATAAGTTCTGTTTTGGACATGTTGAGTTTCGGAAGTCTATGGGACAGCTAGGTAGAGATGTCCAGCAAACAGTTGTTGTTTCTACACAGGTGCTCAAGGTAGAGATGAGGGCTAGATATGCAAGTTTGAAAGTCAATGCCTTAGAATTGATCATTGAATGTATGGGAGCTGATAAGCTCACTCATAGAAAGTACAGAGGGAGAAGAGAGGAGAGTCCAGGACAGAGCTCTGAGGTATGCTCACATAGGGTCAGGATATAAATGATGATAAAGCAAAGGAATCTGAACAGGAGCTATTAGACAGGAGAAGAAAAGGAGAAAGAAGTATCAAGAAAACCCAGGGAAGAGAGAGTATCCCTTGATACTATCTAGATATCTCTAGAGGATGTCCCTATCCTCTAATCATAGATTAGAGCTAGTAGAGACTTTAGAGTTTAACAAGTCCAATCCCCTCATTTTATAAATATGGAAACTGAAGCCTAGGGAGAGAGTGACTTGCCCAGGGTCACACACGGAAGTGCCTGAGGCAGGATTGCTACAGAGATATCAAGAAGGATGAGAACTGAGCGAACACTTTTGGAAATAGCAAGTAACAGGTCATTGGAAACCTCAGAGAGAGCAAATTCTATCAAATGTTGGGATTGGAAGCCATATTGCAAGGACTGGACAAATGTGTGGAATATAAGGAAGTAGAGACAAAGTGTACAGACAGCTCTCCCTACGTGTTGCTGTGAAAGGCAGGAGAAATGAAAAGAATATCATTTTATGCAAACATATTGAATTTTTATATTTTCAAAGTTATTTAACTTTAATTTACTCTAGTTTGTGTTTATTCACTTAAAATTAAACTGATCTTTTAAAAGGAGCCTTTTTTTTAATTGCAGAGAAACATTTTATGTAGCTCAAGATATGCTCTTGGTGCCTAAGATGTACACTACTCTTCCAGTCTGTATGCTCCATGTTGTTAATAATGACACATTGGAGGAAGTGCCACGAGTGTTCCTCAAAGTGATACCTTTTGTCTATACTAAGAATAAGGTAAGATTGAAGATTATTACCACCCAATGACAGTTGGAAACTATTTTCATAGTGGATGAAAAGATAATGTCTGTGTACTTTTACTGTGTTTCTTTGCTAAGAAAACCTCAAAAGGGGTCACAAAGAGTTGGACACAACTGAAAAACTAATCAAGTAAACTAAGCAACAAAAATGCTTCTGCTGTATGTGCAGCGACAATTAATTCTTTCCTTTGAATATCTTCAGGGAATGGAATAAGATAGTCATAGTTGCCAAAGTGATTTTCTCAAAGCACAGGTCAGACTGTATCACTCCCCTGCTCAATAAACTACAGTGTTTCTTTGTGGACTCTAGGATTACATAAAACTTTTCTGTCTGGCCTTTGAAGTCCTATATAACGACCTGTCTTCAATCTACCCTTCCACCCTTATTGTATATTACTCCCTTTCACAGATATTATGATCTAGCCAAAGTAGTCTTCTTAATGTTCCTTATGCATGGTACTCCATTCTCCCACCTCCATACCTTTGCATTAGTTGTCCACCATGTCTAGAATGTATTCCTTCCTCACTCTTCTCTTAGAATCACAAATTTCCTTCGAGTTTTATCTCTAGCACTACCTTGTACTGGAAGCCTTTCTTAATTCCTCTAACTTCTATTTCCTTCTCCCACAGATCATCTCCTTTCTATTTTGTGTTTATCATAAGTACTACATATTGTGTCCCTTAGACTATAAGCTCAAAGACAATCATTATTTAACTTTTATCTTTCTATTCCAAGTGCCTAACACAGTGCCTGGCACATAGTAGGTGCTTAACACATAATATTTCTTCCATTAATCCCTCTGTCCACTTATCCATCTATATGGGTAAGTGAACTGGAAGCACAGAGGAATCCAAGACAGCAATGGTGCTGATTCTAGAGGAACTTATGATTTTAATAGGATCATATATTTAGAGCTGGAGTGGATCTTAGAGGCCAGAGTCCCACTCCATTCTGCAGATGAAGAAACTGAATCCCAGAGAGAATCAGTTACTTGTCCACAGCTAGTACCTAAAATGGGATTTGAATCCAGCTCTTCTTGACTTCAAATACAGCATCATCCATTACACCACCCCACCCCCTCTATTTGTTTGCTCATCTCTTACTCACCAGATTGGCCGATGACAAAAAAGAAAAAAAGAAAAAAAAAGAAAATGATAAATGTAAACAGGCACATTGATGCACTTTTGGTGGTGTACAGGTGTACCTTGTAAATGGGTTCAGCCATTATAGAAAGCTATTTGGAATTATACACAAAAAGTTACTAAGTAGTGCATGTTCTTTGACCCAACTATATCACTGAGATGTGTTTTCTAATACATTTTTCACCTATGCTTACCTTTGACTTGAAGTCACCAAGTATCAATGCATATATTACTTGAGTCAGAGGATCTTGTCAAATTCTTCATAAAATTGCTTCTACCCCTTTATCCAGGTGCTGGAACATAGGTGTCATTTCCTTCATACTAACTGTCTTTTTGTTTTTATTGATTATTAGTACTGCCATGTGAGATGATCCCGAATGCTATTTCTCATTGCCTTTAGACAAATGAAGAAAGCAACTCTGCCAGGTCCTTTATTTGCTCTTCAAGAAAACCTGAGAAATTTCCATTTAGTAGCCACTACCTTATTTTTTTTCTTGTTTCATTTAGAGCCAGAATATTAGTTTTGATATAGGCTCACAGGCTCCTATATTTAGATCTGGAAAGAACCTTAGAGCTCTCATTTTACAAACAAGAAAACTGAGGTGCAGAGAGGTTAAATGATTTACACAAGGCAACACAGGCATTAGGGGTAGAGCTGGTATTTGAACCCAGGTCCCTATAGTCTGGAGATCTCATGCCCTTTCCCATGCCTTATCAAATAATATTTTGGTGTTTATTACTGAACAAAAATCTCCCATTTAGAGTACCAATAGTTTAATTATTATTTGTAAATATTTTTAAAATGCTGTGATTCTTAGCATATTTTCTCTTTCCTATCTTTCTTCTACAATCACTGCAAAAGCAGAAGGGAGTCATACAAGTATATTTATCCTTTTTGATTCAGTGTTGATTTTTATCTTTGGTCAGATCAGTGGATAGTCTAATTACACATGGACAAATGATCTCTCTATTTGCTGCAAAACATTACTTAATCTTGAACCATAATTACCAGTATGTTTTTCTCTCCCTTTCCCTATGCTAGCTTATCATTGAAGGATGTTTTGTATCTTCTTTTTTTCTTGGGTTACCATAGCCAAAGAATTCATCACATAAATAGCCAAACTATTAGTGATATGCCTCTTCCTTACTTAACGATATTCATCCGTAGATAGCAGACAGTTTGTTGCCCAGACCATACTCAAAGTCTTTAAAACTTGAGAGAAACTGCCTGAATTCTCATTCTTATGAGAATTCAAGGTCACTTTCATGTCACAATGAGGCATAGGAATAGAATTCTGTTAGAGGGATTTTAATGAGATTTTAGTGACTTTTTAAAAATAAGGACAATTAAGTGACTTCTTGATGAAATACATTTATGTGATATTTTAGTCTAATTAAATTTTAAATAATTTATGCTCTGATTATGTACCTTTACTGATAGTATGCTGTAATAAAAGCTTAAAACTATTTTCAATATAAACCAAACATTTTTTCTGTTACTTCTCCTGAGCCATAAGATTGCGGAATGTTGTAATCAGATCTTGTTGTTTCAGGTTGTTATTAAATAACAATTTGTATTCAAACCTAATTTTACCATGTGTTAATTTAGAATCACCATTTTCAGTTTAATGAGAAAAATCTCAATGAGCCATTAATTTCTCCTTTTGTTCTATTATGAATTTTTATACTTACACAGTTTAGCATAATTTTTAATAAAATCCATTTGGTTATAATCAAAAGTTATGAGTGATTTAATATGTCCTTGATTGCTTCTGAAAGGAGTACTTAAATTCATAAAAACACAGGAAAAAACTTGTTCATAGATGTAATTTTCATAGAATCTATGCAAAACATGTTATTTTGCATCTTATAATTTGATTCTGTTCACAGCTCAGGTACCATCTCCTACATAAGGTCTTTCCTGAGTCCTCTATCTCTCCCAATACCCACCAGGTGTTTGCTTTCTCCTTGAATTAGTTCTTTAGTGGTGGAACCAATTTAAGTCCCTTTCTACATGCTCTCCATTAAGTATCTGTACTCATGTTGTATCCCCCAGTAGAATATACTTCTCTGAGGAAAACCTTTAAAAAAATTATCTCCAATGCCCAGTACTGTCTTTAAATAGTAGGAACTTAGTAAATTTTCTTTGCCACAGAATTTTTTTCTTCTAAGTGGTTCTCAAGCACAGTTTTTGTTTTTGTTTGTCAATAGTGAGTTACAATATTGAATTAACAGCCAACAGTAAAGATTTTGTCTCTTCTTACTACAATGGAACCTGTGTGTTGCAAGAAACACTTAAAATGTTTTGTAGGGGCAGAACCAATTCTCATTTAACCAACTAGTGTCTTTACCTGCTGGAGGCACTGTTTAATCTTTTTTAGTTTGTTTGTGGCCATATAGTCCTAAAGTATGTAAACAAACTGTGTAGTAGTTAAAATGATTATGTGCATTTCATTAGATAAAAGAGGCAGCTCTCATTTTATGACACAAACAGGTTCCTTTTCCATTTCCAGTTCCATGGATGACATCAAAGTGTTCCCCCAAGTTATGGGGCAGAAAAACCTCCCTGACTTGCCTCTTGAATTTTGCCACTTCAAATAGCATTTTGTCTGGTTTAGACTTTAGTTTACAGCAGTGTATCTTCAGAGCTGACTTCAGTACTTTTGCAGCACAAGTAGCTGTCATGACTGGATGAAGCTATTAACAGTATTGTTTACCATATTTAACATCTAAAACATTCATATCTGCATTTGATTTATTTAGTTTAGTCTGTATTGGTTAGTTCACCTGGTCAGAGCTTGACACAAAGTCATAGTGATCAATTTCTCATGAGTCAGATAACTTCAAACAGAGAGTAAACTAATCAATCAATCAACAAATATCAATTTACTAAGTACCTACTCTGTGCCAGGAATTGGGCTAGGTTCTGGGGTTACAAGTACAAAAAATGAAAACATCCTTACTTGCAAGTAGCTGCCATTTGAATGTGGAGACAAGTATACAAATGTGGAGGTATATATGTATATGTACATAATATAAATGAATCAAATGTGTGTATAAGAAATATGTATATGTATAAGAAACATATGTAAGTATATCGAAGAAAAACTCTCAAATGTCAATTGTCAGAGATTTGAGTACTTATTAATAGATAATATACATCTCTATGATCCCCACCTAAAAGCTATATGTATATATACACACATATAAATATATATGCATATATATGTATATATGCATATGTATGTATGTATATACACACTCATATACTTAGCTGATGCTTTGTTGTGGGATGGTCTTTCTGTGTTAACAGCATTATTTTGATTTTATGTTCTGGACCTTTTCATATGGACAATAGAGCAAGTTAATTTAGGAAGGAAGGATGGGTCAAGGGACTATAATATGGAAAGCAAAACAGAAATGCAGAGGTTGTATCTAGAAAAGAGGGATTAGGAAGGATGTGGAGTTATAGTGAAACAACTTAGGGGAAAGGGGTGAATATAAAGGAAAAAAATTTACTTTCAAAAAGAATAAATTGAAAAGCTATTGGGGTAAGGTTGGAAAATCTTATTGAGTAGCTAACCTTAGTGGCACACTTTTAAACAAAAAGTTCTCAAAGTCAGCGTAGGGGGATGGAGGAGAACAAACTGATTCACATGAACTTTAGGGTTTATCAAACCAAGAAATGGAGTCTGGATACCTAAATTCAATTCAGCAAACATTTATTAATTATCTACTGTGTGCTCCAACTATATTTTCAATTAAGAATCTGATGAGAACCTCCCAAATTAAAGCAGGCAGCTAGGTGGCACAGTGGATAGAGCACCAGGCCTG